GAGGAGGAGGAGGAGGAGGAGGAGGAGGAGGAGGAGGAGAAGGAGGAGGAGGAGGAGGAGGAGGAGGAGCAGGAGGAGGAGGAGAGGGAGGAGGAGGGAGGAAGGAGGAGGAGGACGAGGACGAGGGAGGGAGGAGGAAGAGGAGGAAGACGAGGGCGAAGACAATAACGAGGAGGGTAGGGAGGGAGGGCGCTCGCGGTGGGTCCGCTTCGAGTTCAGCTTGGCGCACTCCGCTCCTGACCTTGCTCCCATCGATGTTCAGGAGGGGAAAAACACACAGACACAAAGATCCTTTGCTTAAAAGGGGAATCCTATGATTTGCGTCTATGTATTCGATTGCCTTCGTGCTCCCCTTCTCCACGGCACCGCGAAGCCGACCGTCCATCCCCGTGTATCCAACCATATGGCCGTATGCCCTCTTCAGCAAGTGCGACCTCACCCGCGAGAACTGCAGGTGGTGGCGCTCAGCGTTCATCCCGAGGATGCAAAAGCTGCATGAACATGAGATTTCGGAACTCCTCCTCCTCGTCCTGCTGCTCCTGCTCCTGTTCCTGCTCCTCCTCCTTTTCCTCCTACTTTTCCTCCTCCTCCTCCTCCTCTTCCTCCTCCTCCTCCTCCTCCCTCGTGGCGGCGCCTCTGGCGCTGCCCCTGGCGCGCTCCACACGCCAGGGAGTGGGTTCCGGCGCCGACCCAAGAAACCCGCGTGGGGCTCCGAAGGTCACCGGAAAAGAAAGAGCCACCGCCGCCAGCTAGGGGGGCTGGCCGTCCCCCCCCCCCCCCCGAGCTGGCGGCACCCCGTGCTGGGCGCCACCCCCCCGAGAGGGTGCCCCGAACGGAGTGCCACCAGCTCGGGGGGGGGGCCTTCGGGAGCAGGGTTCTGTGGAGTTCTGGTGGTGGTGGCTCTTCTTGCTCTCGTGAGGAAAGTTTACACGTCGTTGATTTCTCATCCTTCGGCAGTTCTTTCGTTTTTTGGGGGGCAGAGGTCCTTTCACTTCCACTTGTTCTGTCCTGGGCCTCTTCCTGGCCGCGAGGGGGGCAGGAGCAGTTAGAAACGAACGCAATTAGAAACGAACGCGATTCGAAGTGAACGACGTGTAATGGAGGATGACGGTTAATAAATGACCGGGGGTCGTGTTCACGCGGCGGCGCCCGGGATGACGATTAGAACAATCCGGCCGCGGGCTGAACAACTGTTTTTTTTTCATCGCTCTCCTCCGGTCCGAAAACGATGCAGACATCGCAGAACACTACGTTCTTAATCAATCGTTCCCTCCCATTTTTTTACGAATCGCCATCCCGCAGTATGGTCGTGCCGCTTTTCCCTCCCCGGGCCGTCGCCATCGGCCTCGCGGGGAGCGCGGCGTGCCACTCGCTGGTGTGGTGGCTGTGGTCGGCGCGCTCTCCCCTCTGCGCCGGGAGCGTGCTGTCGCACTCCGTGACCTTCCTGGCCGTCGGCCGCCTCCACTTCGGGACGTTGGCTATTGGAGGAGGAGGAGGAGGAGGAGGAGGAGGAGGAGGAGGAGGAGGAGGAGGAGGAGGAGGAGGAAGGAGGAGGAGGAGGAGGAGGAGGAGGAAGGAGGAGGAGGAGGAGGAGGGACGCTGGCTTGGCCCAGACCTCGGCATCGCTCGGACGTGTGCATTTTTCCTTCGGCGAGGACCATCGAGGAGCATCCTTGCTCATTTGGCGAAAAAACCACGCACGAGACCGACAAAAGCACACGGAATGGACGTGCGAGCGATGGCGAGAGACGTGGTACACACTGTTCGTTTCTAAGTCTTCTAAGGTTATTTGATTTTTTTGGGGGGGGCAAAGACCCTCTCGCTTCTAATCGCTCTGTCCTGGGTCCTTCCTGGCCACCACGGGGCCAGGAGCAAGGAGAAACGAGCACCATTAGAATTGAGCGCAATTAGAAGTGAACGACGTGTACCTGTACTACACCCGTCAAAAATCTGAAGAAAAAGCGCCAAGTTTCTTGGACTCCACATTTCGCTTTAGATAACCCAGAAGCTGCAGACGCATACATCCATGGCAACCCACACTCAGGCTCACTCGCACCGCAAGCTCACCAGCCCTCCGACTCACTCATATGCAGGCTACCTGGCACCCAGGATAACTCATACTCATACTTGTAATTATCATACTCAAACTCAGACGCACTCAAACTCAGTCCTACTCCCACTTAGACTCGCTCGCACTCAGACTAACTCGTACTCAGACGCACTCGTACCCACACTGATTATATACAGATCCACTCACACAGGCTCGATCGTACCGGGCTCCAGTGAAGTCGTCGCTGTCATCGTCATCATTGCCGCGCCTGTCGTCTACGCGGACCTGCTCTCGCACCCCGATTGCCATAGACAGAGTTCCTCAGCGAAGCGCGACAGGAGTTTGAGATGCAAATGTGGGGATCTCCGCGTTGAGTAATTGATACACGAGCGTTCGCGCATAGTGCGTTGTTGCAAATGATAGTGGGGTGGGGGGCGATGGCCAGACTGCCTGGAGTAATATGAACTCGTACAGCACTCCAGATGGACAGGCGTGCACAAAATCATGCGGACAAAAAGCATTACTAAAAAAAGGCGACGCGTTAACCTCGGAGTTGGGTGGCGTAGAATCCAACAATCTTTCAGACATGAGAATGTATATTGTGGAACGTATGCGTTGTAAGCTATGTTGTCGAAGTGATGCAAGCATTCACTCGGGAGTTGTCAACTGCACTGGTCGCACAGTCATCCTATGAGGTGGCATTGTCGAAATCCATGAGGCGGCAATTGCAATGCCTGCCTGGCGCTGGCTGGCGCATCGCTGTGGCCGCGCCAGCGCGCGCAGGCTCGCGCGCACAGCAGCCAGGTAGTCTGGCGCAACCGGCGCGGCCGAGGTGGCGCTGACCGCCTGGGGGCTTCCAGCACGCGTCACAGGCCGCGCTTGCTTGCAGGCGCTTCAATGCGAGTCGGTGGCTCGGGCGGGCGCGGTGTCATGGCGGCGTCGACAGCGGGAGGCGCGATCATTGCAGCGCTGCTGCGAGTGACGACGGCGGCGACGATGACGGCATGGCAAACGACGGCGCCGATGCTGATCACGCCGATGGGAATAATGGTGTCCCCGCGCCGGTGCTGAAGATCCTGGAGGTGTTTCGACATGCGCGCGCGGCCGACGGGCGCGAGTGGCCCGCATGGTCTCCTGGGGCGCGGGTCGTGCCCCCCACAGCACGCGCGTAAGGGCGTTCGAATGATCTCGTCATGCGCGCGAGAGGTCCGATTGGCCGCATGTGATGCACCTGTTGACAAATATTCTCGTGTCTTCCAGAAGTCGAAAGAGCGCGCGCGCATCCGACCTTTTCAAATCTCAGGTTGCGTGGCCATCTGTGTGATATGGGATTGTATATGTTGCCGGGATACCCGAGCTTGAAGCCCATGCAAAACGAACTAATGTTGAAGATTCCTGCAGGCGCGCGCGACGACGCGCGCGTGTGCATTTCGCCCCGCTTTTGAAAATAATTCTTTAACACCAATGGCTTGTGATAGGCGAGTGTGCGCGCATATGTTGTTGTCTCAGAAAACGGTGCTTGGGGTTGATAGCGGAGCTTCTTGGGACGGTGTGATTTCAAATTTGGGATGGACGGGTTTGCAGCCTGATTTGCGGAAGGCAACGCGAAAAGATCGAGGCGTTAGCCCCGGTGTGGGGGGGGGGGGTGAAACCGAATATTTGCTTAGAAATGGAAGCCTGGTTTTGGACGAAGAGGAGACGAGCGGCGACGGGGCGACGACAACCATTCGAGGCGGCACGCGAGCCCGCGACGAGGCGACGACGGGCGGCGACGAGCGACGACGGGTCGGCGACGGGGCGACGACACGCTGACTGGCGCGGCAGACCAGCCGAGGACGAGGCGCGACGAAGCGGCGACGGGGCGGCGACGACAAGCGGGCCCAGGCGGGGCAGATCGAGCCAAAACGGGGCGGCGACGGGCGGCGGCGCGCGGAGACGGGACGACCTTGAGCCGGACGGGGTGGATGAGCAGCTCAGCTCCGCAGCAAGAACAAGCGAGCACTCCCAGGTGTTTTTTTGGTTTTTGTTTTTTCTTTCCTGTTTGCTTCCGCCCACGATCTTTGAAGGAACGCAAAGAACTTAGGAACACAAGCGCAGGGGTCATGTGTTCGCCTGCGCGTTTCGGCGTATGGCCTATGGCGTAGCGTAGCGTAACTCAAGTACAAGCAGGGTTCGGGGACCGTGCTCGGTGGCAGACTCCTTCTTGCCATTCCGTTGGGGTGGCGATGCGCTGTAAGACGGTTGTGCTGTACGATTTGGTCGGACGTGCACTTCCACGGAGGGCGCATCCCAGACATGCGGTGTCCTGATTTCGTGGGTGATGGCTCCCCAGAAGCCCCGGCCAGTTCCCCGCAACCGGCTCTTCATCCGGAGTCGTCTTTCGACGGTCCTGGGGCCCGCTCGGGGCCTTCGGAGGCCGAGCGGGATGACGGGTCGCCCGTTTTCGTTGTTTCCACGGCGCGAGCAGGTCGGTTCGGATGCAACTCTTGGGAGGTCAGATTATGCTTTTGCCCTGGTCCGGAATCCGGCCTAATCCAGCTTGATCTCGCCTAGTCCCGCTTAATCCGCCTCAATCCCGCTTACTCCGGCGTAGCAGCCCCCCAATGGGGCTCAATCCTCCTTAGCCGTTCCGACAAAAGCCTCCCAGTAGTTGCCTCCTGACTTCTTCTGCGTCACAGGATGGCTCTGATCTCGCAGAAGCTGCTGGAGATCCTGGCCGTCGACCGCAGGGCCAGCAGGCTCGCGGACGGGAGGCTGCACGGCGGGGCTGGGGGCTCGCGCGTGCTCGTCGTCGGGAACGGGCCCAGCGCACTGGAGGGCGAGCCCCTAGGGGGCCTCGTGGACAAGTTCGACGAGGCAGGACGTTTAGCCTTTTAGTGGCAGCAGGGACGTTCCCAGACCCCCTCGAGCAATGAAAAAATCAGGACGGAAGGTTTGTCTTAATTTTCGGCCTCCGGGGGCCCTCACCGGGCCTCGGGAGCGTCAAAAAGCGACTCAGGATGCAAAGCTGGTCATGGGGAAAGGGTCGGGACCTTTGGGGGTCGACGTAATGAACAAATGATTACGTCGGGGGTCTGGGTTTATAGACACGCTATGTTCAGTTTCGGAGAAGAGGCCATTGCCCGTGATGGGGCCTCGCGGGAAGTCCACGCCCACTCAACATCTTGCAATTGTGCTAACAGCTGTAACTTGGGTTTCTTGAGCTGCGGAACAGAACAGAACAGATAAGTTCGACGAGCCTCTGGGGGACCTCGCTGGGCCCGGGGACCGTCCAATAATGATTCAGATTGGAAGCCCGGTCTTGAGGAAAGGGTCGGGTTTTCCGGGGACCGCATAATGATTGGAAGATGTGGACCTCGCATGTGTGGGGATATAGCCAGCCCCCCAAAAAAGGACCAGGATGACTAAGCCAAGTCTGCCGTAGATGGTGTTTAGTCTGCCGTACTTGGTCCTTCTTCGGGTGACAGCAGTTCCCTTTTGCCCGCCAAACCACCCCAACCCAATCCGAAGGCCCCAAGTTGCTGTCCCGTCCCAGTAAGGGGACATCCCGGAATATTGAAAACAACATTCTGGTGCCCATACGCTCCCCAATCAGAACTTTGTGACTCCGGGTTCGGTTGGGGTTGTCTGATGGGTACCAGGAGGGAAAAAAAGCACAGACACAATTAATCGTCGATTCCCAAGAAAATATGGGAAAATATGGGAAGTGGGGGGGAAGACAAAAAGCCAGGAATTATGAGCATATGGGGGATATTTTTATTTGTGTGTATTTTTTTGTGTGTCCTGGGGCCCCTCCAGTAAGTCCCACTTCGCGGAATGGGGCGGGGGGGCCCGTCCCCCCGCACACGTCTCCAAGCCAGGCCCTCTCAACAAAAACAGCTCCGCCAACGCCCGAGAGAGTCTCCGAGAGAGGTCATCCTCGAAGGAGAGCAAGCGGCGAAAGCAGAAACCTTCGGAGGTCCGCGTTGATTTCCGGCATCGGCGCGGGGCCCCCTCTGTGGCGCCTCCGGCGCCGCCCCCTGCGCGCTCCTCGCGCCGGAGAGGGGGGCTCCAGCTCCGGTCCAGAGCCGCGCGGACCACTGAAAGGTGTGTGTTGATGTAGTCTGTCCTTCTTCGATGTCCGCTTCAACAACTTTCAGACAAAGACTGCGGGCATGAGCGAGTTCGTGGGCTCGAAGACGACGGTGCACTTCACAGACGGCGTGCTGTACCCGACCTACGATACTTACCACGTCCCAGGGGCCGACGTGGTGATGTCCTTGTTCACCGATCTCGGGCCCACGATCCTGTCCAGTGCGCTATTCAGCCCCTCTCCTTTTCCCTGCACTCTCTGTCGGAGAGGGGGGGAGTGGGAAGAGGGTGCATTGGGTGGACTCTCCGGGTTCTAAGAGCGTCTTTGGCGTATCCCCTGGAATCGAGAGGGGGTCGACGGGATTGAATCGGGGCTTTGGTGGCCCCAGGGGCAGGACGAGGATGAGGAGGAAGACGAGAAGCATGCGAGGCGGGATGGGGGAGGAACGAGGAGATGGAGGCGGGAGGGCGGAGCAGGGAAGACGCGGTGGAGGAGGGGTGGAGGAGGGGGGGGGGTCACAGTGAAGAGGCCAGGCTCCTAGGCCCCACGCATCGCTTCATGGTGGCGGGGTCCTATGTGATTATGCGGTACGGTGGCGACCTGCAGTACGACGTTACCATCTGAGAGCCAGTTTTGCTCCAGGAGGTGAATCTTCCTGAGGAGGAAGAGGGAGAGCAAGAGTGAGCATGCAAACGAGGAGGAGGAGGGGGAGGGGGAGGAGGACGAGGAGGAGGAGGGACGAGGAGGAGGAGGAGGAGGAGGGGGACAGGAGGAGGAGGAGAAGGAGGAGGAGGAGGAGGAGGAGGAGGAGGAGGAGGAGGTTGCGGGATACGGATGTCAGGAGGAAGGGTATGGGAGATGAAGGGAGCAAGATGGGAGACGAGGGGAGGGCGAGGAGGGAGAAGGTGGGAGGATGGAGGAGGGGATCCGACGGAGGAGGGAGGATGAAGAAGATTGGGAGGAAAAGGAAAGGAAGACGATGAGAGAGGGGGTGAAGGCACAAGGAGGAAAGGAGGAGGAGAAGAAGGAAAAGGAGGACGAGGAGGACGGAGGAGGAATAGAGGGGAGGAGGAGGGGGAGGAGAGGGGAGGTGGAAAAGAGGCCAGGGGAGAACATTATCCGAGCAGGTTTGTTTACAGACAGCTGTTTTGTTGTCCTAAAAGGGGATGGATGCAGCGGAGGTCAACAGCCTGGCAAAACATGGCTCTCAGACCATGCGCTTTCTGAAGGACCCCTCGACGGGCTGGATTGAGAAATCGGCGATTGAGAGGCTGAAGAAGTTGTTGGGGCTGAACGGCGTAAAGCATCCGACCAGCGGCATGCTGGCCATCGATCACTTTGTCAACATGCCCAACGTCAGACTCCCAGTCTACATCCACGGCTTCGACTTCTTCCAAGGCCCCAAGATGCACTACTTCGACGAGCACGAGCCGATCTACGAGCGCGTAAACGATCGGATCGGAGTCAACATGCACAGCCCTGCGAAGGAGAAGGTATCCCTGAGGCCACTGTCACCCCGCCAGCCCCCCGAAAGGTGGATTCCCCCCGCCCTCTGGCCTTCTTCTCCTCCTCTCCTCAGTCTTCTTGTCCGTCTTCTCCGTCCATCCCTTCCCCTTCTATCCTTCTCCTGCTTCTTCTTCTTCGCAGGAGCTTTTTCGTTCTCCTCCTCCTTGTCCTCCTCCTCCTCCTCCTCTTCCTCCTCCTCCTTCTCCTCCTCCTCCTCCCCCTCCTCCTCCCACCCTCGCCCTCGCCCTTCGTGGCCGCTTCTGGCTCAACACTAACACTCCGTCCATCTCGCTGCCTCCACGGGGCAGGCTCCCACCAGTCATCGTTGACGTGCCGCCACAATCAGTGGCCTGCGGCAGCCCACGCCCTCCACAGCTGTTCCTGCTTCTGGCCATGGCCTTGCAGGCGGCCGTCCATATCTGCTCGTCGAGCCGCGTTGCGAGCCCTCCAGCGAAGACGGGCGCTCCATCTCGCGCAGTCAGCCATCCATTCGTGCCCGCCATCCCTTCGTTCCCGTCGCCGTCTGCGCAGACAGAAGCGTCGAAGAGCCCCGCAAGACGGTCAGCGAGCTGCTTCCCGAGATGCGCTCGCCGCCAGGGGCAACACAGGGTTCAGCAGTCAAGGGCCCGCAGGCAGCCGCAACAATGGAGGCCGCGCATTGGGACACTCGTCAGTACGTCCTGCACGTTCCTCGGCTCGGTCCGCATCTGCAAGTGCACCAGCCGTGGCCTCCGCGATGGACATGGACGCCGGGGATCACAGTCGATGTCTCCGCGCCGGGCAGGTCCCAGATCCGCGCCTTCCTCGCGCGCACCACACCGTCGGCGCCTGGCCCCGGTTGCTTGCCGTACTCCGTGCGGCTGGCAAGCGAGCCGTCGTTGGCCATTCTACAGGACCTCTCGTTCTGCCTCCGCTCGGGCCACTCCTGCCACCGGGACCTCAAAGGCTCCGGCTTCGCCTGAATGCCGAAGGGTGGCGACCTCAAGGGCAATCTCACCAGCGATCGACCCCGAAGATGCATGTCCTTCGTCGCCCAAAAACACAGGCATCAGAGACATAGTTGAGGCTGTCAGCTTCTTCCGTGAGTCCGCCGTCGCTGACCGCACACGCACCGCGCAGCGCAGGGCCTCGTTGTGGGACGCAACTTCACCAGGCACATTGCCCGCCTCGACGCCGAGACGCGCCGTGCAGGGCTGGTCCCCGAGGCCGTCATAAACGTGCCCGTCTTCACCAGCTTAGATGTTGCAGCGGTTTTCCGTCCCTTGGTCGAGTCTGGCTATTCGCTGCATTGGAACGCTTTGGGATCCCCGCTGGCCTTCTCAACCTCTTCCACGCCATGTACTACGCGCCGAACATCTTCGTCAAAGTCGATGGCATCTATTACACCATGTTCCCGATGGAGTCTTGCGTCTCGCAGGGCTGCCCAGTGAGTGGAACTTCATGAGCCTTCGCGGTGGACCTGCTCATCTGCCACATTGGATCCTTCGTTGGGAAAGTCGGTGGCTCCCCGAACTACGAGAAGGACTTCGTCGGCGGATGCGCAGACCACGTCGGGTTCCGGGCGTACTCGTTCGACACGATGCGCTGTGCGTCGGAGCCTTTCGCGGCTGCTGGGGAGCTCACTCTCCCTTCTCTCAAGTCTCGCAAGGTTGTACTAGTTCTGCCCTGGGCCGGCGCGACCCCAGGTACCATTGCCCGCGCCCAAACCCTCCTAGCCGCTTGCGGGGCGAGCCAAGTACCTTGGGTCCTTCCTCGGACCCTCCGCCTCCCTCGCTGGTCAAAGGCTCGCCCCTGGGCACAAAAATGGTGGCAGAGGGGCACCCTGCTGAATCTCGTGCAGGGTGGCAGCGATGTGCCACAGTGCGCTTGCCGCGCTCATAACACCCAAAATTGTGTTGCTCCAGTTTCCCAACCGGGGAAAATCGCTGCCCGCCGCGAGCTGTCTAGCTTTCACCAAGATGCTCAGCATGCCCCTGGACTCGTTCCGTGAAGACGATCTCGTTGCTCTGGCGGAGTGGAGCACGCCGACGGGTCCCTCGGTCCGCGCGCGGCCACAGCCGCCGCCGCCGCTCTTCGTTCGGCCACTTTCCCGCGCCGGGAAAACAGGGAGGTGTTTCCGCGACCGATGGCGTGACACCGCATTGGAAGAGTGCCCGTTTCTGCACGCCCGCCACTCGGCTACACGTCAGAGTGACCTGTCCCCGGGCGAACCTCTGGTGCGGGCTCAAGGGGGCCCCCCGATCGCTGAATGCGGTGTGGTAGTAGTGGCTTGCGCGTCTGGCAGTGTCCCATAAAGGCCCCCGAGCAGGTCGCGCACCGAAGGCTACTCGTGGCCAGGGTCACTCTTTGCGTGTGGCTGAACCAGTGGGAGGCGGGTCATTGGCCGCCGCCTTCTGGGCAGGGCAGCGTCCCATTGCACAGTACTGTGATGCCCTGGCCAGCCATTGCCGCCAGGCTCCGTCCCCAGCAGCAGTCGTGGCCTGGGCGAGCCACGCCGCCCATTTTCGGAAATTCGAGAGGCGCCGTCTGCGGCGTGCCATCGCCCAGGCGCTCCGCGGTGATTCTGTCAATTCGCGTCTCACGGTCGCTCTTCAGAAGCGCCTCGTGGCCCGGTGTATCCGTCAGCTGCCTTCGCCCGGAAGAGCTTTCCAAGCGCTGGGCCGTCCTCTTCCAGGAACTGCAAGCTGTTCGTCCCAGCTGGCGCTGGGCCGCGCTCCGGACCTTCAGCGGGGGCCGGACAACCACCTTCCGCATGCACGTGTGTTTGCGCAGATGCCTTGCGTGTGCGTCGGTACGCAGGCACCGCATTCTTCTCCCCCGCATATCTTGGCCTGTCCTCCAGAGCCTGGAGGGTTTCTCCGAATCGCAGGCCTTGAGATTGACACCAACACCAATATCGGCGGTGTGCCTCCACCGAGGGAAGAAGATCCCGATCTCGGTGATGGTGGTAACATTCTGGCTTCCAGGGTGACCCAAATATTACCACCAACACCGAAATCTAGGATCATCTCCCCCTGTAAAGGCACCCCCCTGTGTTGGTGTTGGTGTTTATTTCCAGGCCTCCAACCGAAGGGCTTAGGTGGACCGTCCTCCTCCTCCTCCTCCTCCTCTTCCCCCTCCTCCTCCTCCTCCTCCCTCCTCCTCCTCCTCCTCCTCCTCCTCCTCCACAATTACACAATATGAAAATACTCTCCCACTTCCCCTGATGGCGTCCCGAAGATGGCCGACCCCCCCCCCGCGTACTGTTTTTTTACACACAGGATTCCCGGGCAACGGGTTTTCGCCTGCTTTTTTTTCAAAATGCTGCTCTCGCTGAGGCGCCGGCCTCATTTCTGCTCCCGAATCGTTCCGAATCGTGCTCCCGCTGCAGCGTGGGCCTCATTTTCGGATCGGTGTTTGGCCTCCGTCGTTCAGGATGGCGTTATCGCCCCAGCGCGGGCCTCTTTCTCGCGCGCCCATCCGCCCGCCACCACCGCGCCGCACCACCACCACCACCACCACCACCACCACCACCACCACCACCACCACCACCACCATCACAACCACCACCAGCACCAGCACCACAACACACCAGCAGCAGCAGCAGCAGCACCACCACCACCACCACCACAACCACGCACACACGCACGCACGCACGCACGCGCACCACCACCCACTACGCACGCGCGCGCGGAGCCACAGGTCCGCTACGACACGCGTCCGCGGATAGAGAAAATCAGCGCCATGGTAAGGGATGGGAGGGAGGGGTAGGACGTCAGATATGACGCGAGCGCACCTAGCTTGTCCCTCCCCCTCTTCCTCCTCCCTCCCCCTCCTCCTCCTCCATCTCCTTCTCCCCCTCGACCTCCTCCACCTCCTCCACCTCCTCCTCCTCCTCGGCCCGCCTTCGTGCGTTGTGCACCGTGTACTTCCTGGACCCATGACTTCTCGCGTCGCCTACGCCCAGGGGGGAAACCGTGCACCTGAGCCTCTTCTGGTCCCCTGCCTCCCCGCCGTTCCAAATTGCACTGACGACGTGGGCTCTGGGCCCAGCCGAGGCGTATCCGCCAGACCCCGCCAGCGACCTCTCGTTGCGACGCGCCGTCCCACGCGTGACGCTCGCATTTCACATCTACAGTAAGATGAAATGAAGTCTGCTGGTTCGTCGACGGCCGATGCGATCGCATCAGCCCGCAGTGCAGCCCGAACCCTAATCCGGCGTTGATCGTCTCCCTGGCTGCGCCGCGAGCTAGGAATGAACGAGTTCGCCGAGGCTACTGGGACTCCTCCGCCCTCCCCCTCCTCCTCCTCCTCCTCCTCCCTCCTCCCTCCTCCTCCTCCTCCTCCTCCTCCTCCTCCTCCCCTCCTCCTCCCTCCTCCTCCCTCCTCTCTCCTCCTCCTCCTCCCTCCCTCCCTCCTCCTCCTTCCTCCCTCCTCCTCCTCCTATCCTTCCCTTATTCACACTCCTCCTCCTCCTCCGCCTCCTCCTCCTCCTCCTCCTCCTCCTCCTCCTCCTCCCTGTCCTACCTCGTCCTCCCTCCCTCCTCACTTCTCCTTTTCTTCTTCATACTCTTGATTCGCCCCCGCTCTCGCATTCCCCCGCCCTCCTGCCCCCCTTCCCCCCCCTATTCCCCTCCCCTCCCCCTTGTCCGAGCGGGGAACTTGATCTCCCAGGGAAGGGGATCCGGCGTGCACCCTTCGCCGCGCCACGCTGCCCGGTTGGCGGGGCCAGCGGATACGTCGAGAAGCTCGTTGCCGAGGGCAAAGTGCGGTTCCTGAGGGACCACCCCAGCTGACCCGCACACCGCGCACATGCGGGTGCAAAGACCCCCCGCCGCGCGTAGCCCGCCGTGGCTCGCTCGGGCTCCATAGTCAAAGAAGCGGCGCGCCCGGCACGCCCCCACCCCCCGCGCGCGCGTTAGAAGTGATTGATAGCAGCACCCCAAAGGGGCAGCTTTGGGATCACTCGTCGTCTGGTCCCTCCACCACCTCCACCTCCTCCTCCTCCTCCTCCTCCATCACCTCCTCCTCCTCCTCCTCCTCTTCCTCCTCCTCCTCCCGCTCCTCGTCCCTGCTGCTGCGGTTACGTACGAGGCTGCCTGGCAGCATCGGAGGAGGTTCCGAAGGAGAGGGAGGAGAGGGATACTGATGATGATGGTGGTGGTGATGATGCTGATGATGATGGTGGCGGTGATGATGAACGTGATGATTGTGGTGATGATGCTACTGATGCTGATGCTTATGATGATTATGATCATGATGATGATGCTGCTGATGCCGATTATGATGATGATGCTACTGACGGTGATGATGATTGTGATGGTGATGATGATGGTGATGCTGATGATGCTTATGATGCTGCTGCTGATGATGATGATGATGATGATGATGATGATGATGATGATGAGGGTGGTGGTGATGGTGGTGATGCTGCTGCTGATGGTGATGATGAACAGGATTACGATGGCGATGTGGATGAGGGTCGGGATCTCGATGCTGCTGCTGATGCGGGTGACGATGGTGATAATGCTTATGATTATGCTGATGCTGATGATGACGACGACGATGATGATGATTGTGGTGATGATGACGACGACGACGACGATGATGATGATGATGGTGCTGCCGATGGTGATGCTGATGATTATGATGGTGACAATGGTGGTCAACCTGATGATGATGATGATGATGATGATGATGATGATGATTATGATGATGATGGTGGTGGTTATGATTGTGAGGAGGAGGCGGAGGCGGATGGTGATGATGATGTTCATGATGTTGTTGTTGATGATGATGATGATGATAACGATGATGAGTAAGAGGAGGAGGAGGAGGAGGAGGAGGAGGAGGAGGAGGAGGAGACGGAGGAGGAGGAGGAGGAGGAGGACGATAATACTTATGGGGAGGAAGTTGCGCGACATGCTTCGTGCGTCGTTCCCCCCCCCAAAACTCCGCGGTCGCCCTCTTCATCGCCTCGCCCTCTTCTGAGTAAATTGCCCGTGTCGCACCCCATTCTTAGCTTGGACCCAACGTGCGACCGCTCGCGTCGCGATAACAGACAATTGTAATTCAAGTCTTGACGCTTCGCGTATCCCTACCACCTTGGTTTCGGAGACGATGACTGACACCGGACCCCCCCGGGCAGCGGTGTGGATCGTGGAGTGAGTGCTCTGTAGGTCCCTTCCGTTCTCTGCCCCTGTCTCCGCCGACCCCTCGTACGGCGGTGGTACAGACTTCGCGCTGAGTGGTTCAGCCTTCAGCGTTGTAGTTTTGGTTCTCCCTTCCGCCTTCGGCTAGGGGAGCTGCTCGGAGCTTGGCGCCGACAGGGCGACTTTCTCCGGTGCACCCGCACTGCTGTCTGCTTCACTTCGGTGTGGCCGGCGCCTATGTGCGTTTGCCTTAATGCGGAGCATTTTGTTCAGTGCGTGTGCACTCCACGCATCGCGTGTAATTTGCCGTGTTCCGTTGCCCCGGACATCGCTGTGCCGGCTGACGTTTGTCGCGCGGCCGCCGACCAAAAAAATATCCCTACCAGCCCATCCAGAACCAGATCGCCAGGCGGCTTGCCTTGAAGAGGGAAGTGTAGAAGCATGCGGTGCAAGCACCGCCTTGGACGTTGTTTTCGAAGGCCCTTGGAGTAATATTGGGTATCTTTTGGGGTCCTCGCGGAGCCACTCGGGGCACTCGTCGGGCCCTCTTTGGGCCAGACACAGATCGGGGGCGGAAAAGAAGGAGGCGATGACTAGGGGGGGTGGATATCATGGCGGGGGCCATGATATTTCGTCAGATTTCATAGCGCCTCTTCTTATTTCATTACGTCCCTGGCCCCCCCGCTGGGCCGCGCACGTGCCGCGGCCGGAAGCCTCCTGCTTCCCGACCCGGCCTCTTTTGGCGGCGCGGGAGGGCCTGACCCCCCCCCCCCCCCCCCCCCCCCCACACACACACACACACACACACACACACACACACCGTATCATTTTGGCAAGTTGCTCGCTCAAGACTGCTGGGCTGGGCTTCCCTCGTCGGTCGCCCGCCTCGGTCCGATGCCTGCGACGAAGCGGGACGCCCGCGCCATCGCGCTGGATGCTGCTCGGGGCTCGGCCCTGGCCGTCCACGCGGCTGCGGGGCTGACGGGAGGCGCTGGAGAGCTCGCAGCGGCGAGGCTCCTGTGCGCTGCCGATGGCATCATCAGGTCGGCCGTGGCGCTCCTCGCTGCCCCGGTGCCGCCGCCAGCGCAGGCCCAGGCCCCAATGGGCCCTCGGAGGCGCAGGCGCCCGCGTGGGCGCGGCGGCAAGCGGGAAGCGGGCCAACCCCTGGCCGACAAGATGGAGCTCAGCGACGGCATGGCGGCGGCGGAGCAGTGCGGCCTCGAGGACACCGCGCCCTCGGCTGCGGCGACGCTCGCCCCTGGCGTCGAGGTGGAGGCGACCGCGGACGGCGGAGGCGCCGACGCTGGAGCTGCGCGAGCGGGCCTGGAGCTCGTGCACGCGCCTGCGGCGGCGGCCGACGGCGACGGCGACGACAGGATGAGCATCCCTGAGGACGAGTGGGCCGACTCGGTTCAGCGGCGTGCCAGGCCGCCTCCACAGCTGCTGGTGCCAGCCGCCCTCCCCGCCCTGCCCGTCGGCGCGCGGGTGCGGGTCACCGAGGGCGCCTGCGCGCGTGCGACAGCGGTGGTCCTCCTCGACATGGAGGATGGCCTCGTCGCGATCACCTTGGAGGACAACGTCGAGGTTGCTTTCAAGGTCCCGCGTGGCGCGCTGGAGTTGCTGGCGCAGCGGCCCGCCAAGTCGGGGTGAGGCCCTCGGGCCGATTCGGCGTGAGGCGAAGGCCTGCGGGAGCGGGCGGCGCGGCTCCCGCAGGCGGCGGCGGCGGGGCTGGGCGCTCCTCGTCGCTACGTTCTGTCGTCCCGCCAGTTATCCGTGCGATGCTGGGCGGAAGGGGGCTGGGCCTCATGCGGACCTTTTTGGTGCATCCCAGTCCCAGGGCTGGGCCCGATGCGTTCTCGTGGCGAGTGCATCCCAACCCCTTTTATGACACACTTGTGCGTATCTTTTCGCTCCGCGATTTGATAAGAGTGTGCTGGGCCTCAGCGGCTCGCGGCCTCAGTGGCCTCTGTTGTTCAGGGTTTTGTTCGTCTCACTTGTGGTTTCGGACGACTCTCCTCCGACGTGCGACACACACACACACACACACACACACACACACACACACACACACACACACACACACACACACACACACACACACACACACACACACACACACACACACACACACAAAAAAATCTCGGGTCGGGCGAAAGGGGAGGTGTTGGGAAAGGGGGGGGGTACGAAATCTGCTGCATGTAGCTGGTTTTCGGCCCCACCGAGGGGCCCATTCCTCGATGCATAGCCACCTCCGGTGCCGGGAGGCGCAGGGAAAATCAGCTACGTGAGCTGAGTCTCCCCCCCCCCTCCCCTGTGCTATCCCCCCCTTTCGCCCGGCCCGAAAAAATCAGCACGGAAGGCTTTTCGTTCTTTCGGCCTCCGGGGGCCCTCGCTGGGCCTCGGGACCATCAACAAAAACGCCTCGGGGTGACGAATTATGGCGCCTGGGGCTGGGTCGAGAACTCCGGACGTCGGGGGTGGAGTCGTGACGTCGGGGGTCTCGGTCTCGGATCTGGGGTCCTCGGCGGCCGTTCGCGGCGATGGGGCCCCCACTCCCGGAGCACGCCCTCGGCGAGGCGCACGCAGCTACAGGAGAGAAAAACCCCGAGGTCGACAATCCGCCGACGTCGGATCCGATGGGTACGCCCAGGAACTTTCGAGCGACGACCCATCGATTCTCCCCGACCATCCTCAATCCTCGGTCCTCCTCGATCCTCGACCCCCCTATGTAACTCAGGCATGCGACGTCTCGATTTTTTCAGCACCCGGTCCCCGGAAGTGCCGACGTTTTCCCCGGGAACGGGCTAGGATTTCCCGAGTCGTCTTTCGACGGACCGGGGCCCCTGGCGAGGGCCTCTGCAGGCTGCAAAAGCCAGGAAGCATCTCCCCTTGAATGTTTCATATATATATATATATATATATATATATATATATATATATCGCATCATGAGTACTATCACATTCCGTACCGTTATGATTATTATCACAAGTAACATTGTTACTAGCATTGTTGTCATTATGATTATTACTATTGTTTTTACTTGTTGGATCGGAGTATTCTCGTGCAGATGCGCTGGCATGTCTTGGCCTCGGCCTGTCCTGTTATCATGTGCATATCTCTCTATACTACGACGTGGGCACGTCCTGGCCCATCGGCCTCCTCGACCCGCGGGGGGCTCAGGCGCCCGCCGCCCCTGGGGCCTCTCCGAGCGGCAGCCAACATCCGCTCCCAGGCCCCCAGCGCCGTGCGCTTGCTTCACGGTGCCGACCCCCAGAGGTTTGGGCCCCTTCCCCCAGGGACCTGCTCCCTGAGATCTTTAAAGGGATCTCAGGGAGCAGGTCCATAAGTGACATATAAACATAAACATAAAAACTCGGACAAAGAGTGCAAATCCCTATAACATAAAACTCATAAGTAACTCCCTATATGGGAACAAAAAGTGACATAATCATGAAACCCGGAGGACCGCGCGGCTTTCTCGGATCGGCGCTGGACCCCCCTCCCTCGCGCGCGGAGCGCGCCAGAGGCGGCGCTGGAGGCGCCGCCGGGGGACCCTGGCGCCGATCCGAGAAATCTGCGCGGACCTCCGAGTGTTTATGTTTATGCCACTTTTTGTTCCCTTAATCTCAGGAGGGAAAGAAACACACAGACACAAATAATCGTCGACCCCCTGGACAGTATGGGACAATATGGGAATTGGGCGGGAAGACAAAAACCCAGAAAATATGGGAACATATGGG